GCTGCTGAAAATCAACATAGCCATCAGGAATAAATTACATTTTAAATTATATGAAAGTAGAAAACAGTTATTTAAAATTATAATCATATTTTCACAATATTACTGTTTTTACTATATTTTGATCAAATAATTGGAGCCTTGGTGTGCATAAGAGACTTTATAGACTTAATGTTTATTTCAAATACCATAACAAATCTTACTGACCCCAAATTTTGAACAATAGTATATATAAATTAATTTGTGTAAATTATTCTTTATGTAGGCCTATATAAATGTAAAAAATGTAATTAAATATAATTGATCAAAACAATTTACATCCCATATGTTGAAAAACAACAACATTGTCAAGGAAAACTGCACAATTAATTACAGAAATGCAATACATTATTTTTGGTTTAGAGCATCAATCAGTAGCAAACAAGCAAAATATTCACATGGCTTTTCCGAATTTCTGAATGCAATATACAGTAAATGTTTTTATATAATATGTGTGCATGCCTTCTTAGCAAATAAAACATTTATTTGCCCTAAGCAAGAATATTGAATTTTTTTTTTTTTTAAGCACATGCACTTTGGAAATTTTATTCATGGTGTTTACATGAATTTTTTAGTGTTTTTTTTTTTTTTTTCATCCAAAAGCCTATACTTGCATAAAAATACATGAATAGAAAAGCAGCTTAAGTCTACTGTATATACATTTTCATATTTGTCTACTCCAATTTTAGTGCATTGCATTTGTGTATATCTGTGTGTATACAGAGTGAGTGTTTGTATAGAGCTCTGTGATTGTGTTTGTTTGTATATAAAGTTATACATGACTGTGAGTGTGTGTGTTTGTATAAAGCTGTCCGCTCTCTCCAGGTGTGTGTCAGTTCAGACAGCTCTTGCGGTGAGTGTATCTCTGTTCAATTCCGCAGCCTGTGAGGGGTCATCCAGCCTCTCACCCCTCTGTCAGAGCACTTGAGACACACACTGGCAGAATACACAGTCAAATCTGCACCCCAGAACAGTCACGGCTCGACCCGGCCTGGCCTTTTTTCTGCAGAATCCGAGCTGAGCTGAGAGCTGTGGCTAATGGGGGGAGGTTATTTTATTAATATGCTGATTTTACTCCGGGTGACAGCCATCATCTCTCACCCTGAGGGTGAGATCTAATCCGACTCTCACACAGATATGCGGACATACTGTATACACACAGTGATTATTCAGACTCCCTCTGAGCAGGGTCAAAATAACAAACCCAGCTGTGCGTTAGACAGATAGAATGAATGAGGGAAAGTGGGTGACAGAATGAGATAAACTTTTCTGGAGACACACTGGCTGTGTTCTAAACAGCAAACTAGCATACTAGACTATTTTTGCAGTAACTTTGATATAAAGTGTGCAAATTGTCTAAATGCATGGAAAACCTGGATGAGCAATTATTTTTGCCAAAAAGCGCAGTATACAGCGCCGCATAATGCACACATTATCAGTTCCGTATCCCAGAATGCAATGTACTCCGTTTCACTGCAAAAAAGTCACTTTCTTATTCATTATATTTATTTATTTATTTTGTCTAGTTTTCCTGGTACTAATATCTAAATGTTCCTAAATTATTATACATTTACTTGAGATGCAAAAACACATAAGTGCTGTTTTCTAAGAAATGTATCAAAATTAAGTGAGATTTATGTGTTGTTTTTTTTCCAGTACAAATATCTAAACATTCTTAAATCAACACATATTTACTTGAGACGCAAAATAAATTCAACAAAGTTAAGAGAGGTTTATATTTAAAACAAGGAAAAAATATGGGGTAAGAAGTATAAACTTAATTCAAATATGTTTTCTTACCCCATTGGTAGATTTGTATGGTATTGTATTGTATTTATTTAGATTTAGATTTATATTTTTTTCCTTCTGGTTTTAAACATTAACCTCACTTAATTTTGATATATTTAGATTTATATTTTTTTCCTTCTGGTTTTAAACATTAACCTCACTTAATTTTGATTCCTTCTGGTTTTAAACATTAACCTCACTTAATTTTGATATATTTCTCAGAAATCAAATTTGTACTGAAAAAAAAATGTTCAAGAAAACAAGTGTTAATATTATAATATCAATAGTAATGGTGCTTTTAACATATTTTATTTAAACATTCTTAAATTAACATATATTGAGATGCAAAATAATTCAGCAAAGTTAAGTGAGGTTTATTTTTAAAACAAGGCAAAAATATTGGGTAAGAAATATAAACTTAATTCAAACATTTTTCTTACCCTATTGGTTTTGTTTTGTTTATTTAAGATTTTGATTTATATTTTTTTCCTTCTTGTTTTAAACAGAAACCGCACTTAATTTTGATATATTTTTTAGAAAACAAATGTGTACTGAAAAAAAAAGTTCAAGAAAATAAGTGTTTGTTGTACAACAAATGATAATATTAATAGTAATAGTAATGGTGCTTCTTTTTAACATATTTTTTGATTAATTTATTATTTAATCAGACTGCCAAAATTTAAAAAAAAGCAAAATATTAATTATTTACTTCTAATAATCAGCTGGACACCGCTCACTAAATTACACGAGGTCCTAATTAGGTTATTTGACAAGCATAATGAGGTCATGTCGCAACTAACATACTATTGTTTGCTTTATATCAAGAAAACAGTACGTAGCATACAGTGTATATTGTGCAGTATGCAGTAAGCAGTACGCAACAATCCCTTCCAAGACGCAAAGCTGCTCAGACTTCCTTTGAGACACATTTATAATAGCTCAGACACCTTCATTAACTCAAAAGACCAATTACTCTAATCAACCTCTAATCACCCTCTCCAGGTCCAAATCGACCAATGAAAGCAGAGGGGGGTGTGGAGGTTTGGATCCAGACGGCCATCAACAAAAACAGACTAATGAACATTAAAGGAATACTTATTACCCCAGGTTGCCAGTGCTGGTAAAATCAACCCCAGGGAATTTATGGAAACTTTATAAGAATGCAATGTGTGTGTGTGCATGTTCAGACTGCAATATATTACCCCATCAAAAGCCTTTATGGGAACTCGCAGATCAAAGCGGCAGTAATTAGTGGTGACTTGCTGTGTGCAAAATCGTTAATCCGCTAACACACTGGCTTTTAAAAACCGCGGCCACATCTAGCTGACAGACTTTACACCAGACGCTAACACCAAGCAAAACCTCAACCATCTTTAATCTTCAAAGTTTATGACAACTTCATCACCTCTTACAGATCACAGAGCATTCCAGAAGACATCCGACACCGTGTCCTCAACCGGCGCAACACGACACGTTTTCAGCCCCACATTTTCGTCATTTTTCTGTCACTTCCAGCAAATTTTGGTATGTTTCTGTCCTTTCACATGTATACTGTTGTTTGCAACTTAATTAGTTTATTTAATAAATTTTGTTAAATAGTTAATTTTAGCTGAATTTAAAGTTAAATTAAGTTAAATGGCATGTTCCTTGCATGTGCATTTCAAGACCCAGATATATGTAATATCTAAGCATGTTTTAACCATAATTATTATACAAAAATAAAAATAAATAAATAAATAAAATAAATGTTGGGGTCAAAACTGCTCACATTGCACTTGGGTTTTGGACACTGTGTAAAATTCCTTTCAAGTTCACAAAGGCCAACTTTTGAGGGATTTCTGCAGTCTAAAACAGGTCTTAGCCTGGACTACATGACATTATGACCATCTCTCAGTTGATAAGAAGACCTTGCCTGAGGATGCCAATGAACTCAACAAGGCCGCCACCTGTGCATGTGTGTATTTATGTGTAGAGGCACCTGTGGTCCTCAAAGTTGGCCCTCCCACACTAAGTGTTGTATCTGTTCATTGATCGAGACAGATGGCTGTCAATCAATCTTATCGTCTCTCAACACATTTGGTCCTGAGGGAGCCAATATGGCACTGGCCTTGAGTGAAGGCCAAATCGACCAATTGCAGACCCTTGAGAGAACAATATGACTGTTTGTGTGTCGGTGTGCACATGAAAATAGATCGACTAAATACAGACAAAAAAAAAAAAAAGAGAAACTGTGTGTTTATAGGTCTGATTTGCCTACCAGAATAGGACAACCTGAACCAATGTATTAAATTATAATATAATATTTATAATAGTGGTTTTATTTTAAAGGACAAATTAAAAAATGGTCCTATTTGACTTTAGCTACATCTTTGCCTCACTCAACCCAACATCAACAATCTTCAACACCACATTCTGCTCTCTCTCGATGTGTGCACATTGCCAAATTAATCCAGAATAAGTCAACTCAAACTCAAAATCTGCTGCATGGAAATCTTCTCAAATAATCACAAATCTGTGCATCTCACAACTGAATCTACAGGAAGTTCATTCGTCAAAGCTCTTGCCGAAACTTCTTGATCTAACACTCAGGAAAAAAGACCAGCTTAGTCACTGGGTCACCAGCAAATGTTGGGTTTTGGAAGCTGTTTCTGACACTGGTCTACTAGATTAACCAGCAAGAAGCTGTGTATTGGGTATTAGGAGAGGTCAGGGATCTTGGGCCTAAAAAGGTTGGTGACCACTGCTCTAGACTATCCCACGTTTTCCGCCAACTGAAAAGGATCCATTTAAAACACCTAAAATATATGAATATTTATTAGTGTTGTCAAACGATTAATCACGATTAATCGCATCCAAAATAAAAGTTTTTGTTTACATAATATGTCTGTGTACTGTGTATAGTTATTATGTATGTATGTATAAATATACACACATGCATGTATATATTTAAGAAAAATCTTAAATGTTTATATATTAAATATATTTTTATATAATATAAATTATATGAATATAATGTCCATATTTTCAAAATATATACTGCATGTGTGTGCATTTATATATAAATAATATATATACACAGTACACAATTTGGATGCGATTAATCACGATTAATCGTTTGACAGCCCTTATACATTAGTTAACCAAAGATCAACACTATTAAAAACCCAACGTCTTACCTCGACAGACGTTCCCGTTATCCGGCTCGAATCCTGCCTTGCAGGTGCAGCTCCCAATCGGAACCATCCAGTCCCCATCGCCATTACAGTACAACTTAATCGGTACGTCCACTTCCTCAGAATTCGGGATGCACATACCGCGAGCGATCACCAGCGAGGTGCTCTCTGCCCCGGTCATGGTCTCTGGAAAGATCGCAAAGTTCTGCACGACACTAGGGCATTTCTTATAAAACACACGGACAGACAGCAGGGACATGCATGCGCCGTAGTCCTGAAATGCCAAATAAAAGCCGTTTTTCGACAACGGACCGAAACTTCGCACCTCCGTGTTCACTTTCATCAATCTACCACCAAAATCCACCTGCGAGAAGCTCTCATCCGCCGCAATGGTGTCCACCTTCAAATACGGAGCCTCCATCCAGAACGCCGTACCTTTGGTGGCGATGACGGAGTCTGTCTCGTAGTAGTACAAGTTAAAGGTCTCCTTACAGGATCCAGGCACCCGCGGGATGCTGCTGCAGTCTCGGACGGTGAAACGCATCTCCACGTAGATGCGCTGAGCGCCACGTCGTGCAATGAAGGTGGTGAGCAGCCAATTGTTCTGGTTGGACTCAAAGACGTTACACACCTGGTACGTTCGGATGGTGTTGAGGTTCTCGTCATAGCCGCTTACTTCCTCCCACTGGAAAAGAAAAACCATAGGAGGTTTAGCAGAACAAAAAGAACAATGGCAGATAACCATACATTATTAAAATGACATAAGGACTTGGGCTGGGTTTCACTATTCAATTTGATTCTGATTCACAAGCTTGCAATTCGAATTGATTCGATTCGATAACGATTATTTTGGATATATATCAGATACAATATGCTACATGCAAAATTTTCTCAAGGAAAAAAAATCTCTCAACTAAAATATACATCAGTTGGTACTACATCACTATAATAATGAAGGTTAAAATTAGCTGATTTGTATACAAGCGCTTAAATTACACTCAATTAGTTTTTATAATAATAAAGTTACAATTACAGAATTATATTTCTACTCCAATATGCTTTTTGAAATATAAACATTTACATGGTGGCCGTGATAAAAAACTAGATGGATATATTCAAACAAATTAAACCCTGAAGAACAGTAAAAATTCGAATGAATGTTATGTGGTGCATATATTTAGCAAAACGCTCCTCTCTAGAGTTCATTTTTCTAGCTGACTAACGAGTTTATGGTCACCGAGTATGTTTTTTTCTGAGGTAAATATGACGTTACGTGAATTTGTTTACAAGCTGTTATACTGACATCTTTCCGCAGTTGAAACACTGATTGAGCGATTACATGAGACAGGGTACGGATTTTGGTAAGTTGTACTCTTTCTTTTAACATATCTTCGGATGTTTATTCATGTTTCATTCATGTTTATTTTGTTTTGTAACTGGTATTAAAGCGGAGGAGATATCAGTTCACTTGCACTTCTCTTGAACTGAGGCGCTACAGCGATCTATCACTCCACATTTAACAGTGCCAAAAACAGCATGTATTGTTTGAATACTGTAATAAAATGAACAGTATTGACAGAATTTGAAATATGAGACTTTGTTTCATATCAAAAGTAATTTTTACATGAAATTGCGATTTATTGGATGGGAGGTGCGCTACAATGTTCTGTTCATTAACTGAAAACAGACAAGAATAATTGATTCTTGGAATTTAAGAATCAATATTGTTTCGTAAAAATGAGAATCTGTTAAAATTCGAGAAAACTAAAATGGAATATAAATAATAGTTATTTATGTCGAAATGCTTACAAACAATCTCTTATTACGAAAGATAATAATAAGACTTTTTTTTTTTTTGCAAATGACTCAAGGAATGAAACTTTTGAGTGAATAATTCAATTACTTATACCACACAAAAAGATACTCGTCTCCACTCATTGGCGTAATGATGAATAATTCTTGTCAATTGACAAATACATTAAACACAGTAATGTGCATTTTAGCACCCAGAGAACTTTCTGTTTTCAGGTAAATGGTGTGAAAAACCCTTGTTTCAACTTAAAATTGCAAGAGGTGCTTGCTGAAGTGGAATAAAGACGAGAAATATCACTGCTGGTCCATTTGATGCTATCGATGTGGAACCATGGCCTGAACTCAGACAGGTTTCTGCCTTTCATAAAATATTGATACAAATTGAGTTTCCAGAAACCTCTCCAACCCCATATTCCCCACCCAAAAAAACATCTAAAAGCTTTTAAACACTACATCACTTTGAAACTTTTTTTTCTGTCTCTGAGATGATGAAACCTTTATGGCCTCTCTTTCCGAGATTCAGATCACAAAATCTGTCTCCCTAATCACCTGAGGTGGGCGAGGAAGCCGCTGCCATCTGCTACGGTCCACGCCAAGTGCAGTCAGCCACTTACCATTACAATATTACCATATTATAAAATGTGATGCGTAACAAATTTGAGATTATGCGCTATCGAATTACAATTAGAAGTAAGTGGAGCAGTATATGGCTGCCCTCCTGCAACCCTGGTAAAACAGCACCAATGGCAGATTGTGAAACATGGCAATTGAGTTCAGACTGCTGCTGAAGACAGTTCTGCTGATGGTTATGGACAGTACAGTCTAAAAAATTTAAAGTTACAAAAAGGGCCTGACAGCTTGATGCATTAAAACAGAGATTTTCAGATATTTTGATGCCAAGAACCCCCCAAAGATGCCCCCAGAGACCCCTCCCTCCTAAAATATCAGCATTTTTTCTCAAATAAAGACCCATTTACACGGTGTGAGAAAAAGCATGACATTATAAAAGATAAAACGTTAGCAAAATTATATATTTTTTGTATTGGCTCAGTACATTATTAAAATATTGTCTGAAAAATGCTGACTTTGTGTGATTTACACAATAAATGCAGAGTAGTTTTACAGTTACATTTTGTAAATAAATTATTGCTGTCGCATCCAAAATAAAAGTTTTTATTTACATAATATATCTGTGTGTACTTTTTCAGTTTTTCTTTTTTAATAAATCTGCAAAGATGTCAACAATTCTGTGTCTGTCTGTCAATATGGGGTGCTGTGTGTACATTAATGAGGAAAAAAAATTAACTTAAATGATTTTAGCAAATGGCTGCAATATAACAAAGAGTGAAAAATTTAAGGGGGTCTGAATACTTTCCGTACCCACTGTATATATATATATTCTTGATTATGCAATATTATGATTTTTCTCTGCCTTCCAGCTCTGCCAACTCCCTCTATTTTATAAAGATACTCATTTATTATTATTGTTATATACATATAATATACATATACATATATAAAGATTTAAATATATAAAAATAAATACATATTAAATATAAATAAAAATGCATGTTGTCTTTAAACACAGGCTTGATGATAACAGGCAGAAGGAGTGTATCATCACCTCCTCAGAGACGGCAGAGCTGGAAGGCATTGCTCTGGAGAAGAAGAAGGAGGGATGAGAGAGAGAAGTGAGAAAAGAGAGGTGGGACTGGGGTGGAGGGGTGGGAGTGTAACATAGCTGGCATGATGAATGAGTTTACAGAGATCCTGGGCACAAATGAAAGCCCCTTTTTTTTCGCCTGACTGCCAAAGCAACTCCCCACCCCTCCACCCCCACACCTCTGTAATGATGATTTATCTGTATTAGATGGACCCGTCCATTCTGGCACGGCGCTGCCATTAATACGGCAGGGCACTGGGCCCTCCCCAGCCTGGGCTAGGGACGCTTGTCTCTCTGTCTGCTGAAATGACCACAATCACTCAAACCGACTCACGCCACAGGCTACGGCAGACAGAGCCGAGTACCAGCTCATATATCACATCTCGAACTGTGTTATACCATCAGAGATTTGCACATAATATCATACGCACGCATGCACGGACACGCGCTCTCGCATCAACAGTAGCACAGTCATAATCACTGTGGGCATTTGGCATAATGTAATGTCATCCTTTGAATCTCTATAATAGAAGAGTTACTTTTTTCAATGCAAACACACATTATTTTATGACAATATTCACTACCATTGAAAAGTTTGGGGTCAGTAAATTGATCAAAAGTTGCAGTAACGACATGTACAGTGTTACAAATATTTCTATTTAATATAAATGCTGCTATTTTAAACTTATTGATCAGAATGAATGATTGAATAAATAAATAAATAAATGAGACTTTTTTTAATCAAACAATCAATCAATGAATCAATCTTATCATCCCCAAATTTTGACCGGTATAAAAATATAATAAAATATAAAATCTATCTCTCTCTGTCTCCCTCTCTCTCTTAATTTAAATACATTTTAATAGCTTTTAATAAGTATGTCCTCATTATTTGATCCCACTAAATGCTAAAACCTAAATATTTAAACATGTTTTTAATCATTAAGAACAATTGGTTTTATTTATTATTATTTCTATTGATTGATTGATTGATTGATTGATTAACAATTGGATGTATTTGATATTTTTATTGATTGATTTGATTGATTAACAATTGGATTTATTTATTATTTATTATTAATTTATATATATATATATATATTTTTTTTTCTACATATAAACAATGTAAGAATTCTTCTTACAGAAGAAAGATTTCATGCTTGGACCCCTAATTATCCTGTTCCCATAACATGGTCACATGTTCAACTTACAGATCCACATGACTCAGTGTCTACATTGCAAGTGTCTGGCATAGAATAAGATAAAGAGAACAAGAAGAGAAAGAGAGGCAATAATGCTGTATTGTAATTAGTTACTTTCAACAAAATGCAACAGATCTTAAACGTTCCCCTGAATGCACACATACACAAAACATACATAACAATAAATTCCCTCCACAAGACTGGAGGCGCACACAAATAAACAGTGAGAAAGAGGTCGACAGAAATGGCAATTTGAGGATTCGCAATCTCAGCCTGTCTATAAAATGGTGATGAAGCCATTAAAACTGTCCAGTGTGCTGGACAAAAGTCAAATTGTTTTGAAGCCCTCTGGCTTGCACTATAATGATCATGCTCATAAACTCTTGGACTGCACGCTTTCTTCAGCACAGATCTCGACTAGAGCCGAGTGCTTCTCCGGCTGGGATTTACAGGTCCGCTCAGACACGGGAGGGGTCACAAATACATCAGAGACATTCTCTGCTTTTACAGATTTCATTTGGAGACCTTCATTATCCAGTGTGGTTCATGCTACACAGCTGACTAAATTTCCCCTCAGAGATCAATAAAGTATCTCTAACTGTTATGGGCGAGAACTGGACCTGTTGTCAACCCAACACATTAATCTCAGACACAGTCAGAGAGGACAGAACATTAAGCACATGGATTAAGTTATCCACACATTTCGATCTAAGTGCATAGTTAAAAACTATGAAAGATGAAAGGCCAACAAACCAAATATGTGCACAACACGACTTATTTATAGAGCTTATAAAGCAACTAAAGCTGAGCTACAAGCTACTCAGTTACAGTCAAGTTACCATTTGAAAAATTAGATCAATATACAACAAGATACTCCCAAGAAGCAACTAACCTCAGTAACCCTGTCATTTTTCCTGATATTTTTCCCAATTTTTGATAGCGACTGTAGGGCAATCGTGAGAAAAAGAAGGGAAAACCGGGTGGGAAAATGGTTGCAACCGAGACTTG